AGGTGATAGTTCACTTTTCTTCCCTGACGCTAGTAATAACATCTACCGCTAAGTTTCATTTCTACTCACAGAAAAAAAAAAAAAAAAAAAAGTAGGGTGTATACACTACATGACAGACATCCACTATCTCAGGAATAGTCTCCAACCACATTACCTACAGAAGGAGCAGAGCAGGTAGATTATATAAACAACCCAGCAATTCCCTCTCCAAAGCTTTCATCACCAGAAACAACTGTGAATCTGAGCAAAAGGGGACCCTCACTGAAGGAGGAGGAAACTGCTATTTGTAATGCGCTAACAGGCTGGATGTGGTGGCTCACTACTGTCATATAGGCTAGAGTGCAATGGCCTGATCACAGCTCACTGCAGCCTTGACCTCCTGGGCTCAAGTGATACTTCCTCCTCAGCCTCTCAAGTAGTTGGGACTACAGGTGGTGCTAGCACTGGGAAGTGGCTGCAAATACAGATTACCATTAGCAGAGAGGTTTGACTACACAGAGACTACACAGTAAATCAACTGCTTACAGACTTATATCAAAATCCTATCAGTGAGTGTCATGTAACAAGCTGCAGCTGGTGGCAGGCTTTACAGTGGCAATGAGTTGATGTACTTCCATTGTACAGCTGCATCAGGTGGCAGGCTTTAAGTCAGAATCAGACACTTATTTTCGTCCACTCATGGCCCGCCCTATTATTTTATTTACCACTTCCAGCTGTGCCTCTTTCCTGCCCTGCACACTTGTCTCTGTCAGTTCTGGTAAGCCCACAAGCTAACCCTAGCCAAATGAGTAAAAAACAAATGTCACTGGTAAGCTTCTTCAAAAAGGGGAAAATGTCCAATGATGAGACAGCAGAAGACTCTAAGACTGCCAACAAAAAGAAAGCTGCTTTTAAAATAAAATACCAGGAGTCCTACTCAAATTACAGGTTCATTGCAACAGGTGATTCACATTCCCCAAGCCAACTTTGTAGCATATCCAAATGGCTATTCAATGAAGCCATGAAACTTTCAAAACTGCTTCACCACATGGAGACCAAGCACCCTGCATTACAAGACAAGTCTTTGGAGTTTTTCAAAGGAAAAAATATGAACACAAATTACAGAAGCAGTTACTGAAGGCTACCATTTCATCAAATCATGTCTGCAATGAGAGGATCATTCTTAGTGGCAAACTGCACTGCTAAAGCTAAGAAGCCCTTTACTATTGGTGAAGAGTTGGTCCTGCCTACTTCTAAGGACATTTGTTCTGAACTTTTAGGAGAGGCTGCAATCAAAAGGTGGCATGCGTTCCTCTCTAGCAGCATAACCAGGTGAATTGATGAAACAGCAGGGGATATTGAGGCACATTTGTTAGAGAGGATTAATGAGTCACCGCGGCATGCAATCCAGGTTGCCTAGTCTATCAGTGTTGACACCAAGGCAACAATGCTTGCTTCTGTAGGATATGATTTTCAGGAGGATGTGCACGGGGATATGTTAGGTGCACAAGGATATGTCACTTGCACATTTGTTGCTAACCAACACCACAGCTTCAGAACTATTCAAGTCTTTGAATGATTACATATCAGGATAACTGAATTGGTCATTTTGTGTAGTATATGCATTGGCAGAGCAATTGTTATAACTGGATAGCTTTATGTTTTCACTACTTGGGTCAAAGAGGTCACTTCTAAATGTGAGTCTTTGTGCTGTGTCATCCACAGAGAAGTGTTGGCTAGCCAAAAAATGTCACCTGAACTGAATGCATTGCAGGATGTGATTAAAATTATCAACCATATTAAAGTACACGCTCTTAACTCATGTCTATTCATGCATCTCTATGAGATGGATGTAGAGCACACACATCTTTTCTTATACACAAAAGTGAGATGCCTTTCTAAAGGCAGATCACTGGCCAGAGTTTGAGTTACGAGGTTTCTTTTAGAAAAACCGTTCCAGAGATTTCTTTTAGAAAAATCATCACCACTGGCAGCACATTTCACAGAAGGGGTTGCAAAACTTGCTTACCTCCTCAACAAACTCCATCTGTCATGTCAGGAGAAAACTGTATTCTAATAAGCAGATAAGCAGCTGCACTCAAAACCAAATGAATTATTGGGGTGACAAGTGAACACCGGGATTTCTGACATGCTTCAAACATTAGCAGGGATCTTGAAAGATTCTAAGCCAAGACCTTCTTTCTCCCAGCTGGTGCATGATCACCTATCTCAGCTTTCCAAAGAGTTTGAGTGGCTGGGTGCGGTGGCTTATGCTTGTAATCCCAGCACTTTAGGAGGCCAAGGCAGGGGGATCACGAGGTCAGGAGCTTGAGATCAGCCTGACCAACACAGTGAAACCCCATCTCTATCAACGATACAAAACTTAGCTGGGCATGGTGCCAGGTGCCTATAATCCCAGCTACTCGGAAGGCTGAGGCAGGAGAATCGCTTGAACTCAGGAGGCAGATGTTGCAGTGAGCCAAGACTATGCCACTGCACCCTAGCCTGGGCAACAGAGCTAGATACCTTCTAAAAAAAAAAAAGAAAAAAAAAAAAGTTTAGCATTACTTCCCAACCACAAAAGACCCCCGAACTGGGAAGGATCCTAGATCCGTTTGTGAATAAGCCAGGTGAATTGATGTCCGTGCTAGAAGGGGATCAGCTGCTTGAGATGGCAAATGATGGGGCCTTAGAAGTACATTTGAGACAACTTCAAATCTCCATACATTCTGAATTAAACTGAAGGTGAAATATCCCGAGATTGCCTAAAAAGCGCCCAAAAGCCTGTTTCCATTTCCAACATCCTACCTTTGTGAAGCAGGGTCTTCTGCAGGGACAGCAACCAAAATGAGACAACGGAGTAGACTGGACATAAGCAAACACTTTGGATGTCAATGTCTTCCATTCACCCCCAGATGGGACCTGTCTAGTGGCAGGAAAACAAGCTCAGGGGTCCCATGATTCTACCCTATGGAGAGCTGTATAATTACTTCATTATATATTACAATGTATAGAAATAAAATCCACAGTAAGTGTAATGCAGGTGGGCATGGTGACTCACACCTGTAATCCCAGCACTTTGGGACACCAGGGAGGGGATGACTTGAGCTCAGGAGTTTGAGACCAGCCTGGCCGACATGGTGAAACCCCATCTCTATTAAAAATACAAAAATTAGCTGGGTGTGGTGTCGCATGCCTGTAATCCCAGCTACTGGGGAGACTGGGGCACAAAAATTACTTGATCCCAGGAGGCGGAGGTTGCAGTGAACCAGTGTCATGCCACTGCACTCCAGCTTGGGCAACAGAGCGAGACTCTGTTTCAAAATAAAAAAATGTAATGCACTTGAATTATACCAAAAAACCATCCAACTTCCCCTAGTCCATGAAAAAAATTGTCTTCCATGAAATCAGTCCTTGGTGCCAAAAATGTTGGGGACCACTGCTTTAGGGAACACTTCCCCCTGGGACAGGCCCTGAGCTGGAAGCCGGGCATGGGGGTAAGGCCCATGCTCGAAAGTTCCTGATGCTACCTACAGAGCTCCCACCAACATCTGGCCACCCGCAGAAATGTCTGCTTTCTCCAAAGACTTCACCTTCACCCTAAGTTGATCCATCTAACCTACTTCCAAGGAGAGGGGAAAGTAAGCAGTAAAGCACAGGCATTGATCCAAAAGAGGAGTTCAAAAGCCGGCCCTGACATGTACTAGTTTGTGGCTTTGGCCTCCCTCGAAGGCTTTCTCTATCCCACTGTGAAAAGCGATAACACCACCTATCTTTCCCAGTTACTGTAAGGTTTAGAAATAATGTATCTAAAGCACGGGACAAGCACCTAGTCTCCTTAAGTTAACATTAATTGAATCTCTCAGCTCAGAGCTGTCCCCATCAAACACTTAATTACAATTGAAGACTGACTGGCAACCAGAAAGGAGGGAGAAAAATCACAGGGAAAATGGAACATGAGGAATGGAAAAAATCATTTCTCAAAGTCTCCTTCACTGAACTACCACCTTTTCAATGAAGCCTTCCCTCTCCTCTCCTCGAGTTCCCATAGCACTTAATCACATTGAAATAGGTCCTTAGCTCTGAGAATGAATGAATAATACAAAACAGATGCCGGGCGCGGTGGCTCACCCCTGTAATCCCAGCACTTTCGGAGGCCATGGCAGGCAAATCACCTGAGGTAAAAAGTTCGAGATCAGCCTTCCCAACATGGTCTCTACTAAAAATACAAAATTAGCTGGGCATGGTGGCACATGCCTGTACTTTCAGCTACTCAGGAGGCGAGGCTGGAGAATCGCTTGAACGCGGGAAGCGAAGGTTGCAGCGAGCTGAGGTTGTGCCATTGCATTCCAGCCTGGGCGACGAGAGTGAAACTCCGTCGCAACAAACAAATAACGAACCAGAAAGAGACAAGTTCTCACTCCCACAAAATGCAAACCACCAAGGATGCCAAATGCTCTAGCCCTACAACCCTGATCCAAGAGCAATGAACACTGGTAGCAGCACACTTAACACCAGTGTACCAGTACCTCTGGTGAGCATTAAGGGTAGGGTTTTTCCGCATAAAGACCTGCCACCTGAAGGTTAGAACGGATGAAGGAAACTGAGTCCTGAAGATAGAACGCGAAGGAACTCTTTAACTTTAGAGTCCCAGGAGTCACAGCAGGTAGGCGCACCGCCGACACTGCCAAAGGGAGCAGAGTTCGCAATTCCCCGCAGCACTGGCGGAAGCCGGGGACCAGGCCAAGGAGCCAGGGCCGTGCGCAGACTTGTCCCGGCGCCCAGATCCCCGCCTCTGCCCGGGCGCACTGCGCGTGCGGCCCCTGCAGCTTTTGTCTCCTTCGCCGGACCGGGAACTTCCTCTGTCCCGCCCTCGGGCGCGCACACGGGAACGAGGGTAGGAAACGGAAAGCGTTTTGTGCATTTTTAACAGTCAACTGACGCAAAAAAAAAAAAAAAAAAAAAAAAAAAAATTAGCACCTAACCTCCCCAGGACCCCCCTGTGGTCACCAGCTACCAACCTCCGGGCTGTCCCGGGCGGCGGCGACGGCAGCGTTCACGCGCGCCGCGAGTTCCCAACACCCCTCTTTCGGCACTTCCGAGTCCCAGCGACATCGGCGGCGGCCACGGGCTTCCCCGGGATACCACCCCCCTTCCCCCGGAGCTGCCCTTTGGAAGAGCAGCGCCGCGCGCGTCCTCCGAGCACGCCCCTGCCGCCGTGCCCGCGCGCCCTCCGCGCCCGGCTGCCGGACTCGGGAATCCGCAGCGCTCCCGGGGCGGTGGCGAGCAGGCCGTGCAGCTGCAGGGGGACGGGCCAGAGCGCGGCCTGCCTCTCCCAGCTGCGTTTGTCCCGCGGTTGGCCTGGGGCCTCTAGCCCCGCTCACCCCTCGGCTGCCGGTTCCCACTGACTCTGGCGTGTGTCACTCTCCCCAGCCCGTGTGTTCATTGCAGGTCTGGGGCTACCTGCAAGTTAATTGCGGAGTGGAAGTCACCTGAAACTCGAGGTGGGCCGTCATTCCAACACCAGTGGTCCCCACCTACGTTTTGTAAGCGAAAGGAGGTAGTTCGGTGCGGTGGAAAGAGGGCGGGCTTTGCAGCCCTGGCAGCTTCGAGGGCTTGCTGTGTGAACTCAGCCCCTGGGAGCCTGCCTGCCCATCTCTGTAAAACAGGAATAAACTTCCCTGCTTTTCCTGGTTAATTAGAGTGAAGATCAAATAGAAATAAACTTTATGAATTGTAAAGCAACTTACAGAGCTCACTACTGCAAAATGGGTACGGAGATTTTGAATGCGTTGGGAAGAGCGTGGAAGATCTGAAGATGCTCCAACGGGATGTGATTAGGGCAATGTTGCTGCTCGGAGGCCTCCGAGCCTGAGCCTAGAGACAGGCTTGGCAGAGTTCCACAGACTTATCTCAGCAGGATCACCTGGGTTCTTATTAAAACCTCGGGCTTCTGGATCCTTCCCTAAACCAAAGGAATCAGACTCTCCATGGGAGGGGCGTCTCAGGTGGTTCTATGATGAGGTAAAGGTGGATAACTCTGCCCTAGGCAGCAGGAAAACGCAGAAGCTGTGCTCTCAGAAATTTCATCTAGCAGTCATTGTAATAATGGAGAGGATTACTTTAATGACTGTAGAATCCTCCAGGAAACCAGAATGTGAACCTTCCAAGAGCTGGAGCTATCTTTTCTTTCGGCTTCTCCCCAACCCACCCACCCCAACACCTAGTACAGGATGGTGTTCAGTAAGCAGTTAGTAAACTAGCCCCAAATAAGAGTGCCAGATTTAGCAAATAAAAATACAACATGCTCAATTGAAATTGAATTTCAGGCTGGGCGTGTTGGCTCACACCTGTAATCCCCAGCACTTTGGGAGCCAAAACAGGAGGATAACTTAAGTCCGGGAGTTTGAGAACAGCCTGACCAACATGGTGAAACCCCATCTCTACTAAAAATACAAATATTAGCCAGGTGTGGTGGCGTGCACCTGTAATCCCAGTTACTAGGGAGGCTGAAACACGATAATCGCTTGAACCCAGGAGGCAGAGGTTGCAGTGAGCCGAGATTCCACTACTGCACTCCAACCTGGGTGACAAAGTGAGACTCCGTCTCAAAAAATAAGTAAATAATTTCAGATGAACAATATGTAATTTTTTAGTGTCAGTATGACCCATGCAATATTTGGGATATACCTATGCTTTTGTTTTTGTTTTTGTTTTTGTTTAAAGTACTTACAGGAAGCTTGTAATACCAGCACTTTGGGAGGCCAAGGTGAGCAGATAACTTGAGTCCAGGAGTTCGAGAACAGCCTGGCCAACATGATGAAACCCCATCTCCAAAAAAAAAAAGAATGACAGGGGGATGCTTGCAGCAAACCACCATGGCATGTGTATACCTATGTAACAATCCTGCACGATCTGCACATGTACCCCAGAACTTAAAACATATATTAAAAAATCATTTATCTGAAATTCAAATTTAAATCCTGAGTATCTGAAAACCAAATTTAACTGGGTATTTTATCTGACAACTCTAGATCCAACGGTTTTACAAAACCAGGGGCTGCACTTCTCAGTCTGTCTGATGGCTGCCCTGCAGGCTGTAACACTTTGTAAGAAATGAAGTCTCCTTTCTACATGTATTAAAAATGTATGATTTTTTTTAAAAGTGGACATGTCAGAATTTCCTTCCCTGTTAAAACTGATAACATTCCATTGTACATATGTCACACATTTTTTCCATTTATCTATCTATGGACTCTTGAGTTGCTTTCTTCTTTTGTGAATAATGCTGCCATGAACATGGGTATACAAACATCTCTTTGAGACCCTGCATTCAATTCTTTTGAGTACATATCCAGAAGTGAAATTGCTGAATAATATGGTAATGTTATTTTTAATTTTACAAGGAATTGCCATACTTTTTTCCATAGAGACTGTACCATTTTACATTCCCACCGACATTCCCACAGGCAAAAGTGTCTGGACTTTGAGGATCTCTGCTTGTCTTAGAGCAGTCAGGCCTCCGAATCTTCCTGACTTGGAGCCAGAGCAGCCAGCCCTGAAGAGAGACATGACCGGAGATGCCTGGCTTGAAAAGCTTCGGTTCTGACTACAAGCAGAGCCAAAGAGAGTCCTCCCTGGAGTTGAGACACAAACCAGAAACAGAGTAAATAGAGCAAAACTGATGATAATTGAGGCTTAAAGGAGGGAACCAATTTGTGCCTTGGTATTGTATTTCCTTAAAAGCAAAAATACTATAATTAGTATGTAAATGTGAGTAATTAATGGTCAATCCTGTCTATACTATGGTTTTAATCATGAGACATTAATCAGGCACCTGCACTCTCTCTGACTCTCTAAGTTAGTGGGAACTAAGTATTTCACTAGGGCCTCCCATCCAGACAGGCAGACCTCAGTACCTGGTAGCCACTCTCCAGACAGCAGAACTGGTGCTTAGGAGGGATTAGCCAGGCCAATCCTCCTTTTGAGTTCAGCCATGACTCAGTCATATAATTATACACATTCCACAGAGGCGTAAATGTTTGCTAAGACTTCACTGATAAAGTCTTTAAGACAAAGGATTGAATTTCTAATTACGAAGATTCACACTCAAGCAACAATGAAGAGCTATTTTGAAGGATTCAAGAAGCTACCCAACCCTGACCACCTGGCACAGGCTCCTGTCTGCTCCACCTATAGGAATGTCTGCCCTGGGTTAGTGTGATTTTCAGTAACCAGCATTGAACTAGCATTTGTCTAGCACCAACTTTACACACAGCACAAAACTGAGTATTGGGGGAGATTTTATAAAAAGTGAAAAAAGACTTGTCCTGCAGGAAGCTGTAGTCTAGCTGGGGATTCACCAGATATACACAAAACAACTGGCAAATCAGAAGTACAAATAAAAATGATATACTTCAAACTACTCATAAATGCTGAAGAATAGACTCAGACCAGTACCCTAAACTATGCAGAGTGCAATTCATTATCATCTCCTCCAAGAACACCTCCCATGCAGGGTAAATTCAATCCCTGGAAAAATTAGTCTCTTCCCAGTCACTTCCTCTTCTATCACATGATTCTTTTACATTTTCTATAGCACTTACCACTCTCCGAACTTCTCTCATTGGTTTATATATTTATTATTTATGTCAGCATTATTCAGACTACTTGGAATGTATAATACACTAGTAGATTGTAAAATAAGCTTAATGGGTCACAACTACACTTAATTTTTTTGACTTATTTTTTAACAAAATGAAATATTGTAGAATAAACCATCAGAATAGAATAGAAAATATGAGAACACATCACTGTACTTTTATTAGGAATTGTGAACACTGTAAGAAATACTGCATCCAATTGGTTTGAGCAGGATTAAGAAAGCTAATAAAAGACTATGATGGGCCATGCACAGTGGCTCACACCTGTGATCCCAGCATTTAGGGAGGCAGAGGCAGGTGGATCACTTGAAGCCAAGAGTTTGAGACCAGCCTGGCCAACATAGTAAAACCCCATCTCTACGAATAAATAAACAAATAAGCCAGACATGGTGGCACATGCCTGTAATCCCAGCTACTTGGAAGACTGACGCAGGAGAATTTCTTGAACCTGGGAGGCAGAAATTGCAGTAAGCCAAGATGGTGCCATGAATTCCAGCCTGAGTCATGGAGTGAGACCCTGTCTCAAGAAGAACTTTAAAAAAAAAGACTAGGAAGAATATGAATTTGCTAGTACAAGTCATTCTGCCTTCTAAAAACAAACATCTCATTTGATCTTCTGGTGTATGATATGAATATGGCCATCATCTTTATAAGATAATTAGCTGTTTATATTTTATGTTAACATTAGAGTTCATTTTAAAGCATTTTTCTGAAAGAACTTTGTCAAGTGAGATATGTCTCAGGTTTGCATCCAATGTATATTTTGATAAATTAGTGTGAATTTCCCTTTAACAGGATTTCTCCTTATTAGAAAAGAATGATGAAGGAAAACTTAGAGAAATGCCCAAGTTCAACCTAGAACTGTAAATAGTGACAATGTTGAGAACATTATTGATTCTAATTAGTTAGCTTCAACTTCATTTGAGATGCCTTTTTTAAAAGAAAAAGAGAATGCACAGCTTTATACGAAAGACTATTTTTAAAAAAGTTTTCAGTGCATAAAATCCAACAAAAGTGACAAACCCCAATGTGTTACTTCTAATAACACATTCAAAACTAGAAGGACACTTGGAAACATAGCATGCTGGACTTAATAACAAGTCCTTCAAACATTTTCAAAATAAAACAAAGGACAAAAAATTATTGTTTTTTTTTTTTTTGTATTTGTTTTTTTTTTTGAGACAGACTTGCTCTGTGGCCCAGGCTGTAGTGCAGGGGCGTGATCTCGGCTCACTAGAACCTCTGCCTCCCAGATTCAAGCAATTATCTTGCCTCAGCTTCCCAAGTAGCTGGGATTACAGGTGCCTGCCACTCTTCTGGCTTTTTTTTTTTAATTTTTAGTACAGACGAGGTTACACCATGTTGGCCAGACTGGTTTTGAACTCCTGACCTCAAGTGATCTGCACATCTCAGCCTCTCAAAATGTGAGGATTACAGGTGTAAGCCACCATGCCTGGCCTGTTCTATAAACTGTTCATGAGACTTAGTTATATATGGTTGGACAAAAGAGAAAATGGCTCTCACACAGTTGTTGAAAAATTATTATTCTAACTCTCC